AAAATAATTTACAGTAGTTGACACTGTATTTTGTATCTATATACTTACTGTACTTTGTATACTCACTGTACTTGTACTTTTGCGCGTTGCGCGTATATTGGCGAGTTGGGAAAATTACTTACTTTATAATTTTTTATAAATACAAAATATATTTTGTATTTATTATGCCTGCAATGCTATCAAGAGTAATGAGAAATACAAGGTGTCCCATTTTAAACAATCCACTCAAATATCTCAGAAACACCGAGTTAAATAATAAAATTTTTTAAATAAAAGTTGTAGGATTTGGAGAGGGAAAAAATATAGGGATATTTGTTTGACCTTGGATGGAAGCGCTTCTGAGATTTGAAGGTTATTTTTATTTTTTTAAATGGAACCACTTTAATTTTTTTATATAAATCGATTTCTCATAATATTTGTCGTAAAAAGTTATAAAACTAGGATGGCCGAAAATTGAATGGTTTACAAGATATTTTATACTTTAATTTGACATAATTTTACATAAACTATAAAATATCTCGTTAAATATTCATTTTTCAATTATCTTACATCAACACTTTTTATGCACAAAATAATGAGAGGAATCAATTGGTATAAAAAAAACACATAGTTGTCTTTAAGAAAAAATCTAGCAGAGCTATATTTAAGCTATATTTAGCAGATATAATATAATATACTTTCTTCTTAAATATATATACTTTTTTCTTAAAGTCAACTATGTATTTTTTACACCAATTGATTCCTCTCATTATTTTGGCTTATGCCTTATACCGTGTTTCGAGTGGGCGACATCTGTATTTCGCGAAGTGAAGGAAACTTCGATGTTATATTTTAATCGATTGTTACTCGATGTATCGATCAGCAAAAACATCGATTAAAATAATCGATGCTGTAATAAAAAGCATCGATTTTCTAAACATCGAGTGAGCATCGCCCACCACTAGTACAGACCGACCAGCTGTTGCAAACTACTTTTTTCGAGTCAGCATGGGCAACCTTACATATTAAACTAAAATTTACCTAAATATACCTAAATTTTTGAATACTGTAAAACCTGATATCAGAACGCTTACCTATCAACGGAAAGCGAACGAGAATTTGCTTTCAAGCATTATAACCTAAACGTGGAATATTTCGCTCATGCAAATCGGCTGAGAAAAAATCACCAGATAGTGGGGAA